AGAAAACCAGGAGGGTTCAAACAGAAAGATTTTGAAAGCAGAGAAAACTGTGCACCTTATAATCAGCATGACTTTATCACATGATAATACGAATACTAAAAAAACAGGCTTAAAATTATGCGAGGGCACTTTAATTCAGTCACGAACCCGCGATTTCGCGGGTGTGTTCTAGTATATATATATTTTTATCAGTGTTGCAGTAATTTACTCCAGTCACTTCTTTATCAAAGTACTTGTGAGCACTGAAAGAGAAAGGTAGATTTGAGGCCTGGAATACACAACAGATAAGCAAAAAGTCTGATTTATATACCATTATACCATTAAAGATGTCTATATATAGGTTATAAACTGCAAGATTATTAAAATATTGTATTTTTTCAATAATAATAATATTAGAACTTTTAAGATCTTGTAAATGCTCAAGTAAATTAATGTTTATATTCTAGAGGATTTACTGTGTCAAGGGTTGACAGTCTTGATAATATTTTAATGAATTTCATTTCAGCTGCAGACAATCAGTGCAAATTAAAGGTAAATTGATATATCAGATGTCTGTCAATGATACTAAAAATCACAGAACCATATGGTGAATATTACTACATTTCCTACCAGTAACAATACCCAGATGACATTAGGAAATAATTTCCCCCAGATGAATCTATCTGTTGCCTAGTCATGCAGCCATACTAGAGACATCCCTAAACAATTTCCTGCTTCTTTTCATCTCTGTTACAATTGGCTTTTCTTAACTATTTCTTCTAGGGATTGACGAGTCTACGATTGCTAACAATTGCTTGAGAAATTAGAGGCTCAGACAACATAATAAAACGATTTTAGCTATTGTATATAAATAAGCTAATTACCTGACAGACAATAAAAGAAGAACTGTGAATGAGCTAGATCTGGTCTAATAACACAGAAATTAACAAATAAATGGTTAGTTCCATTTCTTTCATTTTCTCTTTGTTTTACCAGATAACAGAAAAAGAATTGTTTAGTAGAAATATTACAAACAAATCTAGTTATTATTACAATATGCAAATACATTTCTATTTTTACGCTGATTATTCAAACCACAACTGAGTGTATATATATTAATCATTTTTTGATATGTAGTCCAGAACAGTTTATTATTTACAACACATAGTCCCTTGCAGTTATCTTGAAAGCATCTTTATCCATATGGAAGTTCATGAAAGGTTGATCTTTCCTTTCTTCTATCTTACTTTATTGGTTCAAATTCCCCCTTCAGTCTTTTTTTCTCTAAATGGATTCTTAGGTTCTGACATCAAAACGATTGCATGTAAGGAGTGCATATGCAATGTTTTGTTGTGACTTCCACCTTTGACCTTCAATATTGAAATTATTCAAGGTTCAAGCTCTCCTTAAAACCAACTGTTTTGATATAACTGGAGCAATACAAGAGTGACCCAGTCTTTTTTATATATCCATTCATCAACTTCCTCCCAAATAGACTTACATCTACTAGATGCTTAATACAAATCTAACTAAACTTCTTGAAACTTGATTGATATGTTAAAAAAAGATTCAAAGCTTTGATCTTATATAAACCTTTAAGATTTTACCTTGAGAGTTATTGGTATTTTACAGAGTTGAACAGAACATAGAAAAACACTGAAGTATAGAAATAAGAGATCAATTGAATATTTTTTTTCATCAGAAGTTTTTTTTCTCTCCTGGATTTAAATACCTGGTTTGATTCATATATAATAAACATGATAAAAGGCATTCTTTTTTTTATTTATTTTACTCGCGTAGTGGTATTAACCATATGTGGATTCTTAAAAATTCTTAAGAACTTCTGGACAATTTTAAATCTCGGTCTATTTCTGAAATTAATTCTTACATAACTTTTGATTTTTTAACCCTGTATACCAACATTCCCCATGTGAAATTATAAAATTGTTTTGAATAAACATTGAATGACAAACTTTTTTCTTATGTGACGTTTACATTTTCTGACGTCAGACACGCGAAGCAATGAATGTGGTTTTTAATTTGATAGATGCTTTTTTGTAAATAATTGCTTGTTTTGATATTGTAACACAGTGATGACTGCTGTACCCATATTTTGACTATTTTATTTATAATGTCTGTTTTGTTCACGCATCGTTGTAAATATAACGGAATTTGATAAGACTGTCGTACAAGTGAGAGGTTTAGCGCTATAAAACCAGGTTCAATCCACCATTTTCTACATTTGAAAATGCCTGTACCAAGTCAGGAATATGACAGTTGTTGTCCATTCATTTGATGTGTTTTGTGATTTGATTTTGCCATGTGATTAGGGACTTTCCGATTGAATTTTCCTCGGAGTTCAGTATTTTTGTGATTTTACTTTTTTTTTTTTATATATTCCTTCAGAAAATAGACTTTTTAATGTAAATCAAATTTGCTTTAAAATTTTATTGTTTTCACAAAAGATAACATAAGATTGTAGTTTTTTACACATTCTGAGCTGAAGTTGGAAATTCACATTCATATAGAAACTGCACCTAAAACTATTGTTTACCATCAGAACAAAGAAAGGCTGCAATCTCAACCTCTGATACCAAAATTTGATATTCAAAAAGAAATACATTAATGTTTTTGTTTCTAAAAATACTAATTTCAGACATTAATACATGAGACTGAGTTATGTTGGTGACAATTTTTTGAGCCAATATATGATAAATCACAGTAAAATGACATATTAAGTGTTTTTATATAAAAGCCCCCACAATAGAAATTGAATTTCAATGAAAAGGTCAGAATCGAGACAATAAATAATTCTACATTTATTTATTCCTGTCAATAATTCTCTAAATCCTTCAAACATTATACGACTATGGAATGTTTCAGTGGAATATTGATAATCAAATAAACAGTTGCCACATTAAAATCCTACTAAAGCCATTTCTGTGAAACATTTGATCCAAATGGATCTTGATTAGTAACGTAATCACATTACAATTACAGCTAATAGGATTGATAGGAATGGCTGTCCAAATTAAATCATATTGCTAACTTTTACCGTAGTTTTCTTTCCTGTTCCATTTCCGGGTTAATGTTTCATACTTTCTTTCATCTTTTCGTACAGAGCAAAATAATTTAAACATTGTAACTAATCAGATCCTTCCTGACTTTTGGCTTTATTGTATAAACATGCATTTACAAATACTGAATAGCAGGTTATTTTCGCAGGGTACTTATAACATTAACTTAAGAGGTTATCAATGAATTTCCTTACATAAAAAAAAACCAGTAGTTTTGTGCAGGTCTAACAGGTCAGTATCTGAAATACTTGATTTTCTTTTGTAAAAACTATGCACAGTCCTTGAATGGTGTAAATTTTCCAATTACCCCATACACCAAACACAGTGCTATTCCCATTTCCCATTTGAATAATATACAATTCGCACCAATCAAAATTACCACAATGGAGCTTGTTTGAGGGATTTTTAAAGGACAAGGTATGATAAGCCTTCGTTTTGGCCCCCCTATTTTCCTTATTTTTCAAATATTGTTTTGGAAAGCTACTTATCACGTTAAAATATTCCCTTAGGTTTGAAGTTTATTTGAATGAACTTCAAAACCATTAATTTCAGAAAATGGGTGAGGTGATGGGGGTAAAAGGGCATCAAAAATGCCAAAAGAAGGAAAAATTACAATTTTTGGCCATTGTTTCTTAAAATCTAATAGCGTGGGTCTACGTGAACCGGAGAAAATTATGGCGATTTAGACAGTAAAAACAGTTCTAATGACATTGGAATAAAAATAAAATGCTCCGCAGGGCGCAGCTTGATACGACCGCAGAGGTCGAACCCTGAACAGTTGGGGCAAGTATGGACACAACATTCAAGCTTGATACAGCTCTGAATTTGGATTGTGATTAAATATTTGACACAGCATAGGTTTCTGACACAGAATGAATGTGGTCTAAGAACTTAAAAATTTTAAATTGGACATTCACCTATTATGGTCCAATATCCAAAATCTAAATACATGGTTAGATTCAGCATATCAAAGAACCCCAAGAATTCAATTTTTGATGAAATCAAACAAAGTTTAATTTTGGACCCTTTTGACCTCAATGTGGACAAAGTTGATAACGGGGCCAAAAATCAAAAATCTAAATACATGGTTAGATTCAGCATATCAAAGAACCCAATATATTCAATTTTTGTTGAAATCAAACAAAGTTTAATTTTGGACCCCGATTTGGACCAACTTGAAAACTGGGCCCATAATCAAAAATCTAAATACATGTTTAGATTCAGCATATCAAAGAACCCCTTAAAATTCAATTTTTGTTAAAATCAAACTAAGTTTCATTTTGGACCCTTTGGACCTTAACGTAGACCAATTTGAAAACGGAACCAAAAATTAAGAATCTAAATACACGGTTAGATTCGGCATATCAAAGAACCCCAATAATTCAATTTTTGATGAAATCAAACAAAGTTAAATTTTGACCCTTTGGACCTCAATGTGGACTCATTTAAAAACGGGGCCCAAAATCCAAAAACTTAATACACGGTTAGATTCAGCATATTGAAGAACCCCAAGAATTCAAGAATAAAACCCCATTGAAATTGATCAAGAAATAAGCAATTTATACGAAGTATCTTCTTTTGCACAATACTGTGCAATTGAATATTTCTTGCTATTGCGCAATACTGTACAATTGACAATTTCTTGCTATTGCGCAATATTGTGCTATTGGATATTTCTTGCTATTGCGCAATACTGTGCAATTGAAGATTTCTTGCTATTGCGCAATACTGTGCAATTGAAGATTTCTTGCTATTGTGCAATACTGTGCAATTGAAAATTTCTTGCTATTGCACAATACTTATTATATAATAATTTACACATCCTGTTTGGTGTGTATCTCCTACCATATCATTATTATTTGCTTTTAAATATTAATCAGAAATAACCAACTTAAAATGGAAAATTTTAAAAGAAATAAAAAAGGCAAAAAAGAAAAAAAAAAATTCCCCCCCCAAATTTTTTGAACCCCCTTATGATTCATCACCCCCAAACTCAATCCCAGCCTTCCCTTTGTGGTATGGTACCTTGCAGTACAATTTCAGAGAGATCCATACACTTGAACACAAGTTATTGTCTGGAAACTAGAAAAATGCTTATTTTTGGCCCCTTTTTGGCCCCCAATTCCTAAACGTTTCGGGCAATTACCCCCAAACTCAATTCCAGCTTTCCCTTTGTGATATGGAACCTTGTAGTACAATTTCAGAAATATCCAAACACTTACACACAAGTTATTGTCATGAAACTAGAAAAAAGCTTGTTTTTTGCCCCTTTTTTGGCCCCTAATTCCTAAAATTTTGAGGCAATTACCCCCAAAATCAATTACAGCCTTCCCTTTGTGATATGGAACCTTGTGGTACAATGTCAGAGAGATCCATATACTTACACACAAGTTATTGTCTGGAAGTTACAAAAATGATTATTTTTGGCCCCTTTTTGGCCCTTAATTCCTTAACTGTTGGTACCATAACCCCCAAAATCAATCCCAACCTTCCTTTCGTGGTATTGAACCTTATGGTAAAATTTCATGGAGATCCATTAAGTTAGAGTGCGAAAACCAATGTGTCTTCGGACGACGCCAGACGACGACGACGACGCCGACGCCAACGTCATACCAATATACGACCAAAAAATTTTTAATTTTTGCGGTCGTATAAAAATACCTGGGTCACGTTGGCGCAGACACTTAAAAACTAAAAATTTGTTGTATGAAACACCTGCAAAGTGAATAATAATTACAATATTTGAATAATAACAGAAAGTTTACCCCCCTCACCTCATCCAGTTGCTAAAATTAGTGGTTTTGAAGTTCATCCAATCAAACTTCAAACCTTAGGGAATATTTTCTCATGAAAAGTAGCTTTCCAAAAAAGAATTTCCAAAATGAGAAAATAGGGGGGCCAAAAAGGGGCCTTCTCGTACCTTGTCCTTTCAATATAATTTCTTTTAAAAACAAAATAAAATTTGAAAATGTTACAACACTCCTCATGCACCATACACCATTCCCCCATTGCACCATCACGCACCATACACGTTTTTTGGGAAGTTTACAACTTTCAAGTTAAGGGACGTAACTTTTGAATTGTATTTTCAACATTCCAGAAAAAAAATAGTTTGATCCAGGGAAAGTATAATATTTACTTGTTGAAGTTTCCACTGGTGAATTGATATGCTCCTGAAAAGTAAGTAGGGAATACAAATCATACAAAACGTACGGGTCACCAGCTGGAAGACTCTTCTACATTTACTGTACGTCAATTTGCCATGAAGAAATCAAATGCATTTATAATTTCATTTGAAACAATGTATATAATTTAGAAAATAAATTGATTGATTCATAGATTGGTGTTTAATGCCACTTTCAGCACTATTGGCTATTTTGTGGTGGTCTGTTTTTATTGATGGAGGAAGCCGGATTCCGCGTAGAGAACCACCGAACTTTCAACAGGAAAAATGACAATCCAAGTCAATTAAGATTTGAGTGTAATGCACATGTCAAGAACTCACAACCTCAGTGTTGACAGGATAGTGATTTAGTAGTTGGACTACTAAGACCACTCGGCCAATGAGGCCCCTCAGAAAATAAAGAAAGTATGTATCTGTCACATTAATTCATATACATGTTCAGGAAAAAGCTTGTCATTTGCTTAAGTTCACCTTAATGTCACAATTACTATCCTTAAGGAAGAAACATATATCTCCAATATTCTCCTTAATCTGCTTCCAATCTATTCATTAAGACAAGTCCATCATTTCCAGGGTTAATAATTTTGTTTTGAAGATTTAATCTAATTTATATATGATGATGTGAAAGATACTTAATTAGAACTTTTATCCTGCAATCAGCCAACTACTGTACAAATAACAGGTATACAAATGTTTTTTTTTGTATAGTATATAAATAAAGTCTGCTGTTATCCTGATCTAGTGTTGAGCAATGGGTTATGTTAAAATTGCTGTTTTCATCACAGTTCATGCAGTGGTCATCTTGGACTTCAATGTCAGCATTAAAGCCTTGTCAATTTCTTAAATAAACTGTTGACACAGAGATATGATGTCTCCCCTTTATATAATTTTGATAGTATAATGCAAAAGAGAGGAAAAAGATACCAAAGGCATATTCAAACTCACATGTCCAAAACAAACTGACAATGCCATGGCAAAAAATTTAAAACAACCAGAAGACAAACAACAGTTCACAAAACACAACATAGACAACTAAAGACTGAGCAACGCAAAAACACAACATAGAAAACTAAAGACTGAGCAACGCAAAAACCCATCAAAAACCAGAGGGTGATCTCATGTGCTCCGGAAGGGTAAGCAGATCCTGCTCCACATGTGGCACCCGTCATGTTGCTCATGTAAGTACAAAATCAGTGATAAGTCTAATTCTGTAGGTCACATTTGAGAAAAAGAGGACAGGATTGTAAAGACGACAATTGGAACATATCCGTCGTCATCTGTGAAACAGATGTTCCATAACAGTCAACCAACTTAAGATATCATTAATCTTGCACTAACTAACAAAAAAAAAAAAAAGTACATGTGTTCTCAATTTATGGATTCTTGTCAAAAAAAGTGGTTTCATATTAAAATAAGAAGATATATTGCCAATGACACAACTATCCACTAGAGTGGAAATGATGTGGATGTAAGCAAATGTATTAGTCACTGTACAGCCTTCAACAAAATGCATTGTCTGTATCAATCCACATAATTGTAGGCACATAGTTATATTAAAAAAGTATTTTTAATTACTAATAAAAATATCCCATAGTACACAATCTATAGACAGTTAACATGCTAATAAAGACATTGATATATTGGATCTACCACCTTCGTATATACTTCATGTGGACATCAAATAATATATCTTGTCCATAGGTAGGAAGATTACAAACAATTGCATACATTAATATTAAATCATCACACTCCTTAAAAAGACAATAATAAGTTATTTTTGTCAACAAAACATCTATAAAATAAGATTTATAAAAAATTCATCAAATATCCACCCTAACATATTAATTTATTCGCTATAGGTTGAAAAGGTTGTCTAAGAACACTATTCATCAATACTGGATCTAATAACAGACGTTTGATAGTACAAAAAGAATGGCTGATGCTGAGGAGCAAAAGTGATTATTGTATGATCTCAAAAGGTTAAAAGGTCAAGTGTCTCAAAATCTCTAATCAAGTGTTTGCAGAATCACAAGCATAAGGTCATACAAAAAAAACCATGGTGTTAATTTCACAAAGCAAGAGATTCAATTACTGATCTCTGTCTTTCAAGTTACTCTCATCAGAGTCCACTGGTTACTATATCTGTACAAATATGGAGGTTTACTGATTAAAAATGATTTTCAAATGCGTTAAACCAACTCCACATCTAAAAGGAGTCTAAAAGTATCCTAAGACATTTAATTATCAAAATATTGGCTTTAAATAATATTCGCAACAGTTTCACTATAACCACGGTTAAAAATTTTGTATTTGGTCGTAACAAGTCATTGTGGTCTGTCTGTAGACCATTCATTTGACCTTTCAGCACTTTTTTCTTGTAGTGACACTCAGAACAAGTAAATTATAAAATTCAAAGTGCTTCAAAACCTTGTCATGCAGCTGCCTCTGTAGGCTGATTTTTATGATAACCTTGAACACAGTTTCAAGGTCATACAAATCGAGCATTTTCATGAATTAAAAATAAGATAATAATGTTACATCAAACCAATGGTAACATTTCAAAATATCAAGACATTTCTATTCACTTATGCCATTTAATGAAAAGCCAATTACAAGTTAATATTAACTATATCTGATATATAAGAACCAAGCTGTCTCCTAGATGGATGTTTTAAAGTTCTGTAAATAGCCATGAAACACATATAAATGTAAAGAATTATAGTGAGAATGACATTCATCTTCACTTTTGATATTTAAAATTCATCAGAAACCAAAATTTAGAAAGGTCAATGAAGAATCGTGTGGGAATTATAAAATAAATCTTGTAATGCAGTAATCAAACTTGAAACAACACTGATAAAATGCTTTTCTAGAATAACATGCATAAAGAGGTTAACTCCTAACTATCCTACTGCCTGTCGATACATTTATTTTTGGCATTGCACAAGTCACTGTCTTCTTTGACTGTCCATGACGTTAAAATACTAAATCCCTTGGATGTGTTTTAGTTGATTTTAGTCTCTGGTGCATGATTTTTACAGAGGATGACCTTGAGGTCATTCCGATGTATTGCTATCGCCTAAATTTCCATTATGCAAATTAGTTTTGGGATTTCAACCGATCTATAAAAATTATAGATCCGCGGTCATTACAAGGGAAAAAAGTACTTCAGTACTTTGATTTATTATTAATTGTTTTTGGCTTTTAACTAGCTGTCAGTAACTTCGAGTAATCTCAAATTGTACTTTCTTGTTTATTTGACCTGTTGATACAAATTGTATTGCTTTTTAGTTATTTAATGCTATTCAGGGTTATATCTGGTCTATATACCCGCTTTGATAAGTGTTTGGTATTACTATAAATTTTCACTTCTTCGTACTATGAACATCAAAATTATTTATTTTGTATAAATATTTCCTTTCTCCATTTCAACTGTACACGTATACCTAACAACAAAATCATTTTCATTTACCTGTGTTTAAAGGAATTGCAAATGGCTGATATTTTTGTTCTAGCATATTGTTTTTCTTCATGTTCTAAATTGTTTAACATTTCACAGCGGTATAACATGTTACTTTAATTATTCTTCCCTCAGTTTTTTTATTTTGTATTTATATTGTATCATAGATCAAATTTATTTGTTCAGTGTATGTTCACTGGTGTTAATATGTCTTTTGATTGAGTTAAGCCATTTCAATTGATATTTTATAGTGTGTCTTTCTATGTTGTGATGTTACACTATTGTTTCAGATAAGGGTGAAGGTTTGGTACCATTAAAATGTTTAAACCAGCTGCAATTGTCTGCACCTGTCCTAAGTCAGGAATCTGATGTTCAGTAGTTGTCGTTTGTTGATTTGGTTCATAAGTATTTCTTGTTTCTCGTTTTTTATATAGATTAGACCGTTAGTTTTCCCATTTGAATGGTTTGACACTAGTAATTTTTGGGGCCCTTTATAGCTTGCTGTTCGGTGTGAGCCAAGACTCCATGTTGAAGACCGTACTTTGACCTATAATGGTTTACTCTTATAAATTTTGACTTGGATGGAGAGTTGTCTCATTGGCACTCATACCACATCTTCTTATATCTAAGTATAGTATTTCTACAACCCCATCACTGTGTAGTATTGCTTATAAATAAAGTAAAAGGAATGTTATCTCAAAAGTTAACCTTTAAAAAATCTCTAAATCAAACAAAAAAAAAATATAAACTATGACAAACTTTAGTATGAATCAGTTTAAAGCTCCCCAAAATACTGTTGAATTTGAGTAACCTGATGACAAACACTTAGACTGATCATGTTTGATAATAAACATTATGACTGACCAAGCTTGATAACAATATGCCTTTCCTGATATTTTTATATGTCCTAAATTTCAGCACTATTCCCAAATCAAGGGGGGGGAGGGGCACTTCAATACTTAATTAATAGGGGGTGCCGCTGTGGTTCTGTTACCACACCCTTTTCATATAATTAAGATTTTTAATATGTATACCTTTTCATATATATTGTGTAGGTAAAAATGTAACCTTTTCCCATACAAGTGATAATTTTTAATTATGAGTCCAGGAGCAGACGGAAATCACATTCCTGGCACAATCGAGAAAACATTCCCTTTGCTCAGAGATCCCTTATGTAATGTTTACATATGGCAAGACTTTTGCCTGTGATAAAATTATAGGGGTTTTTCATATAACAAATAATGGGAACTTTATTGACGTTATCATATATTTCTGATTGTTTTCCCCACCTATTCACATATTTTCAAGCTGAAAAATGTTACCTATTCCAGCAGCACGTCCTATCACCTTGTATATATTAAAAAGGTGGGGTAATGTATGTCCCAGCTGATCATCAATACCACAAAAGTGTTGAAGAATAAATCAACTGAAAATGAGATCAATGTCAACAATACTGCTGAAATGGATTCAACAGCTGAAACAACTGCCTTCAATGATTTTGTTGAAACAGACTTAATTATTTTATAAAACTTCCTATGACATCACTTTGAACCACAAAGCAAGATTACATGCCCCCATCATTTAAAGATCTACACTATGATCAACTCAGTTAAACCTTCATGAACCACACTCACTAAGCTTGACTACCATGACTGATAGAAAAGCCTGAAGAAATAGAAAAAGATGCTTCCAGCTTAAGAGGATTTAATTTTATTAGCTGAGCATTCAGCCATTCTCATATTAAAAGTTGAATGTTTAATATACAAATCTAATGGGATTAAGCATTCAACCTTTAGCATGAGAATTAAATGTACATTTTTCCTAGTTGATGTCCCCTTTCTTTATAAAAATAAGGAGATGTGGTATGATTGCCAATAAGACAACTATCCACCAGAATTTAAATGAAGTGGATATAAGCAATTATAGGCCATCGTACAGCCTTCAACAATGAGAAATAAAATGCTTCGCTGGGCGCAGCTTAATACGACCGCAGAGGTCGAACCCTGAACAGTTGGGGCAAGTATGGACACAACATTCAAGCTTGATACAGCTCTGAATTTGGATTGTGATTAAATATTTAACACAGCATAGGTTCTGACACAGAAAGAATGTGGTCTAAGAACAATTTTTTTAATTTACCTATTATGGTCCAATGTCCAAAATCAAAATACATGGTTAGATTCAGCAGATCAAAGAACCCCATATATTCATTTTTTGTTGAAATCAAACAAAGTTTAATTTTGGACCCCAACTTGAACAAACTAGAAAACTGGTCCCATAATCAAAAATCTAAACACATGTTTAGATTCAGCATATCAAAGTACCCCAAGAATTCAATTTTTGTTAAAATCAAACTAAGTTTAATTTTGGACCCTTTGGACCTTAATGTAGACCAATTTAAAAAACGGGACCCAAAATTAAAAATCTAAAAACACGGTTAGATTTGGCATATCAAAGAACCCCAATAATTCAATTTTTGATGAAATCAAACAAAGTTTAATTTTGGACCCTTTTGACCTCAATATGAACCAATTTGATAGCGGGCCCACAAAATAAAAAATCTAAATACATGGTAAGATTCAGCATATCAAAGAACCCCATATCTTCAATTTTTGTTGAAATCAAACAAAGTTTAATTTTGGACCCCAATTTGGACCAACTTGAAAACTGGGCCAAAAATCTAAAATCTAAATACATGTTTAGATTCAGCATATCAAAGAACCCCATATATTCATTTTTTGTTGAAATCAAACAAAGTTTAATTTTGGACCCCAACTTGGACCAACTTGAAAACTGGTCCCATAATAAAAAATCTAAACACATGTTTAGATTCAGCATATCAAAGAACCCCAAGAATTCAATTTTTGTTAAAATCAAACTAAGTTTAATTTTGGACCCTTTGGACCTTAATGTAGACCAATTTAAAAACGGGACCCAAAATTAAAAATCTAAATACACGGTTAGATTTGGCATATCAAAGAACCCCAATAATTCAATTTTTGATGAAATCAAACAAAGTTTAATTTTGGACCCTTTTGACCTCAATATGAACCAATTTGATAGCGGGTCCACAAATAAAAAACTTTAAATACATGGTTAGATTCAGCATATCAAAGAACCCCAAGAATTCAATTTTTGATGAAATCAAACAAAGTTTAATTTTGGACCCCGATTTGGACCAACTTGAAAACTGGGCCCATAATCAAAAATCTAAATACATGTTTAGATTCAGCATATCAAAGTACCCTAAAAATTCAATTTTTGTTAAAATCAAACTAAGTTTAATTTTGGACCCTTTTGACCTTAATGTAGACCAATTTGAAAACGGAACCAAAAATTAAGAATCTAAATACACGGTTAGATTCGGCATATCAAAGAACCCCAATAATTCAATTTTTGATGAAATCAAACAAAGTTAAATTTTGGACCCTTTGGACCTCAATGTGGACCAATTTAAAAACGGGGCCCAAAATCCAAAAACTTAATACACGGTTAGATTCAGCATATTGAAGAACCCCAAGAATTCAAGAATAAAACCCCATTGAAATTGATCAAGAAATAAGCAATTTATACGAAGTATCTTCTTTTGCACAATACTGTGCAATTGAATATTTCTTGCTATTGTGCAATACTGTACAATTGACAATTTCTTGCTATTGCGCAATATTGTGCTATTGGATATTTCTTGCTATTGCGCAATACTGTGCAATTGAAGATTTCTTGCTATTGCGCAATACTGTGCAATTGAAGATTTCTTGCAATTGTGCAATACTGTGCAATTGAAAATTTCTTGCTATTGCACAATACTTATTATATAATAATTTACACATCCTGTTTGGTGTGTATCTCCTACCATATCATTATTATTTGCTTTTAAATATTAATCAGAAATAACCAACTTAAAATGGAAAATTTTAAAAGAAAAAAAAAAGGAAAATAAGAAAAAAAAAGAAAAAAAAAAATTCCCCCCCCAAATTTTTTGAACCCCCTTATGATTCATCACCCCCAAACTCAATCCCAGCCTTCCCTTTGTGGTATGGTACCTTGCAGTACAATTTCAGAGAGATCCATACACTTGAACACAAGTTATTGTCTGGAAACTAGAAAAATGCTTATTTTAGGCCCCTTTTTGGCCCCCAATTCCTAAACGTTTCGGGCAATTACCCCCAAACTCAATTCCAGCTTTCCCTTTGTGATATGGAACCTTGTAGTACAATTTCAGAAATATCCAAACACTTACACACAAGTTATTGTCATGAAACTAGAAAAATGCTTGTTTTTGGCCCCTTTTTTGGCCCCTAATTCCTAAAATTTTGAGGCAATTACCCCCAAAATCAATCCCAGCATTCCCTTTGTGATATGGAACCTTGTGGTACAATGTCAGAGAGATCCATACACTTACACACAAGTTATTGTCTGGAGGTTACAAAAATGCTTATTTTTGGCCCCTTTTTGGCCCCTAATTCCTTAACTGTTGGTACCATAACCCCCAAAATCAATCCCCACCTTCCTTTCGTGGTATTGAACCTTATGGTAAAATTTCATGGAGATCCATTCACTTAAACTAAAGTTAGAGTGCGAAAACCAATGTGTCTTCGGACGACGCCAGACGACGACGACGACGACGACGACGACGCCAACGTCATACCAATATACGACCAAAAAATTTTCAATTTTTGCGGTCGTATAAAAACCCATACCTAAACTCACTATAATCGGCTATCAAAAAAAGGCCCTGACATAATAAATGTGAAACAACTGAGACAAGAAAACAAATGGACTAATTTATAACAAAACAATTTACGAAAACAAATATGATAGACATGAACCAATGACAACTACTGAACTTAACAGGCTAACTTTCTACAAGCATAAAAGAATAAGTTTTTGCTTGACCAATTAATATTCAACCCTTTATACCCCAAACAGTCATATAAGAAATTAAATGTACCATTTTAGCATGGAATGACTAATTTGGCTATAATTAATGAGTGTTTATCTTGTCAAATGTTATTATCTTTAAATTGATAAAGATTACTACCCTTAATGCACCCCATTGATAAAAATGACCACACAGACATAGTTACAGCCCACAGATTTTAACTCATTAGTTATCTATAAAAAACATACTTTTCTGCTTCAATAAACCAATTTTCCATTTCCTTACTTAACCAAATTGCAGTACAGATTACTATAATTTTGAAGTCTGCTCTTTTATATTGAAAGCACTTTTAGAAATAGTACAAAATATCTTCTGAAAATGTTTTATAAATTATGGTCATTATAAAGATTTACTAGGGTTTCATTGTATTTTCCATAATAAATACTAAGATTTTCTAGACATATTGAAGAATAATAATGACACACATTGTATCATTTATACTTTACAATACTCCTTCATGTATTCACAAGTAAAGAATACTTTAGTTCTTTTGTCTGTATGAGGTAGAGTTGGTGACCAAGAGAAGACAACAGAACCATTGTATTAAATTTTTCTAGAGGCTATAGATGTGTACACTGGACAGCTGACTCACAAACTTGACATAAGTATATTTTTTTATACCTAGTTTGTGGTTTTAACAAATTCTGCCACAAGCCTATAAGATTTTGTATTTTGTTGAACATTTTTAAAATATGTTGTTCACACATAATATTATACCCATGAAATATATATGAAAATACAAGTGGAACTGCTAGCTACTGCTCACTGATGATACCCCCACCGCAACTGGATAATTTTAATAGTGTAAAAATATGTAAGTGTTCGGTAAACGGGAAGTTGTTGAGTGATGAATCTGAAAACGCATCACATGGTATAGCTAACTTATATAAACCTTGAAACCAAATTTCAGAAATCCTTATGATGTAGTTCCTGAGAGAGATGGGACGAAAATTATTCATGGGACGGACGGACAGATGGATGGACAGACAGAGGTAAAACAGTATACCCCCACTTTTTAAAGCGGGGATATAATAAAGAATCATCTACTTGTATGTACTGAACGTGCTGTTGCTTCCAACATTTGAGAAAAATACACAGATAGATTTGTGTTATCAAAACAGCAAATTGGTGTTCCCATCTGTTGAAATGTTAAATGCAATATTCATGTTTTAGCAGATGGAAACAGCAATAGTAGATTTCTACATTGTTTTGATAACAGAAATCTTTCAGTGTATTGCTTTCATTGTAGGAAGTAACAGCACATTTAATACATAGATCTAAAAAGTTTCAAGGCTTTTGAGGAGTTGATTACAAACAACTGCTATCCTCACACTAATTCCCCAGCCCAAATTCTACAATATTATATTGCACCTCATGATACTTCAGGCAAAAATTAAAAAGGAAGTTTCTTTAAACTCAGGAATGGTAAAAATTAAATGGACAAATATGAGCAATATCAAAATAAACTTTGTTTTTGTCTAGTTGGCTACAAGTTTGAACTATTTGATTGAGGGATTCTATGCTTATCATCTGGTCTAAAGCCATGTGCATCAGTATATACCTTAACACTGTCAGAAGTGAGGAGTAAAAGAAAGATTGAAAAAATATACTTCCAACCTTGTTAGGAAAGTTTTATAAGTATATTGAAAACATTTCATCTCTGTGATCAATAAAAAAGCAGGTTAAAGCTTTGGCATTTGCCATGAAATATATAACATGTTATAGTGATGAAACACTTGTAAGAAAGTTTCATTTCAATCAGAAAACACTATTTAAGGTAGATTGTAAAAGAAACACAGTTTGTTAATACAAAGATGACAGATAGATACAATAAACATGACAAAAGAAGCATGTCTCATTATCAAGCAATGGTAGAAAATACAGAGAAAGAGAAATGTAAATTAGAAATGGACATTAGCTGTCTGTCACAGACACCAGATCAAACTAAACAGCAACAAAAATATACAAATGAAATTAATTAATCTAAGAAATGAAAATCTATGTTAAATCAATAACACACCATAAATTACAATTAATTCCAACTAAAATTTTCTACTTGAATACTCCTTGAGTTGATATCTTACATTCTTAATTATTATTCGAAAAAATAGGCCTTGATGGTATTCATACAAATTTCTTATCGTGACCAGTCAATTAAGGGGACATCTTTAATCAGTGGCGCACAAACGAAATTTAAATCAAGAATCGCTTGATAATGAGCCTCCCGTCTCTTTGCGACAGGTCAATATTTCGCCGACTGTCAATTCTGATAAATCACATTCATTAGTCAGCAACGATAACACAATAGTTAGATATAGGTCCCCCTAATTACCTTATATGAGCTTTAGAAAATGGAAAATGGAGATTTATATTGAATTTGATGGTAGGAAGTTGTCAGATAGTATACCACTAAAAGATCTGATATTGGTAGATTGTTGTTTCATTAGTACCATAAAATTTCAGGGAAGATGGAGGTTATATCAATTGTATCTTTAAGTACTGTAAATTTAGAAATTATAGCAAGGTTTTTATTAATGGCAATAAAGCGACTCTGTGAGTATCCCAATAATAAGAACTTGCATTATGATATCCGATACATATATCTGTATGTAGCTTTTCCTAAAATCGCAATAATTAAACTCTCATTTTTGTTTATTCTTCAAAAATCACAATAATGAATGCACGCAACAATTTCTGAATTTACAGTATGGTAAAGCTTAGTGTTCCCTGTAAAGGAGGTAGATCTGTATAATGCACATAACTTACACTATATTTATGAATAAAAAATATCAAATGAGACAACAATTCTTCAACACAAAAAAAAAGACCTTTATAGTTTGACAAAGATTATTTTACAACAGAAAAGTCTCTATATCATATGTCAAACTAGTTAATAGAAACTACACAAGATCTGTCATTAAAATTGAAATCTTTAAAGGACTAAAATAAACACAAAAATTTTACAAAGGACAAACACTGACATTAGGTTCCTGAATAAGGACAAGTATTTCGCTATTTTTTGTGCTATTTTCACATTTCCTGAGCGGTGTGAGAAAAATATTTCTCCTCACTAGTGAAATATCTGTTCTCAGCAAATGATTGGTCGAAATTTAATTATGTCGTTAAATTTTCTTGATTTCTTCTGAAACTCCTATTGTGATGTCATGAAAAAAGGCGACCATGCCTGATGACGTCACATATAAAGAACACAACTTTCTGCAAATCTTTGGAAAGGAAGGACAAAAATCATTAGAGAAACAGATTCCCCCACTATAACTCGTGTATTACAATATTTCTCCACTCTCAACAGTTAAATTTTAATTATTTAAAAAGCTCAGCAAGCCTTGCGCTTTAAATATTAAAAATTAGCTGTCTCGAGTGGAGAAATATCGAAACATACTTGCTGCAGCGATGGAATCTATATATCCTCTTTTTCTATCTTGATCAACTAAATAACAAAAAGAACATAGAAGTAGATACAATAAATTTTATGTGCTAAAAGAGATCTGACACGGTATTTTATTTCAATTATTATGATTTTCCTCTGGCCTCAAGTGTACAACATCTTTTTATTTTCTTAAGATATTTTCATTCATGGTCGTATTATATGAACAATCATCTGTTTAAATAATTATTATCACTATGTATATAAACATTGATTACTCCCTGGTAGTTGATTGACTCATTGTTTCTGTTTTAATTTATATCATTGATAATTTATAATTATTCTATCTTAAACCAACAGTACAACACAAGTTCATCATAGTTGTATTAAACTTGCAGTACAACTAAAATTCAACAAAGTAGTCTTAAACCTGCAGTACAATTTGTTAACAATGGTTTATCATATATTTAGTAGTAAATACAGTAGTTTTGAATATTTGATAAATAGCCTGCTGTTATATCCGTATCGCTCAACTTTGATGTGCACCCTTTATCACACCCCTACCCTTTATCACACCCCTACTAAAATTTCTCATTTATGTCAGTAGTGATTCCGACTAAATTTACATGAAGTCCATGTTTTAATTTATGCAGGCTTCTCAAGAAATATTTTTCCTCAATGGGTCCTAAATGAAATGGTCATTTGGGCGTGACGTCATTTACCAAATGACGTCATTGTTTGGCATGTGACGTCACAGACGTCAAGCTTTCATATTTTCTGGCACACGAAATGCAACTACAAAAAAGAACTCAATGAAACACCATACAAAACACAAAAAAAATACAATAAACAAAATATTTCTATGAACAACAGGACGCGAATTGCTTGGGATGAATGATGAAGCAGTTCTTTTAAAGCTTTTAAAACAAGACAAAAGTAAATCTAATGGTAACCCAGGTGCTAGGGATCAGAAAGCAGTTCATATATACTCTCCTGTTTAAACAAATCTAAATTGAAAACAACGTTCAAACCTATGATTGCGTTGGATAAAAACCACAATTTTTATACATGTGCATGTAAAACAAATTTCTAGGTAGAGGGGTCTAAATACAGCACAAACAACATTTTCCAAAAGACTAAAATAGTGAAAAAGTATATTTTAACAAAACGCATTTGACTAACAGGTCGAACAACGGATGTTCTCTCCTGTTTAAATATATGATAAAGCATATAAAACATGGCAAAATCCGTATCACATGCCGTATCACCCTCAACCAGTATCATCCCTCGGGCCTAAAGGCCCTCGGGCTAATATTGGTATCTCGGGATGATACGGCATATGATACGGATTTTGCCATGTATTATTCT